GGGGGCAAAACCCCAGGTAAGGAAGTGCTATATGACATCAAAGGTCATATGGTGCTATGGTAAGGTAGAGTAACGAAAAGGGTTAGGAATGAGTTAAAGAGTAGGGTAAAGTTACAGGTTGAGCAGTACTAGAGGGTAGTATGGTAGTGAAAAGGGTAGAGAGAGATGGGGTGTAGTACAAGGTAAAGGTTGTAAGAAGGGAGTAAGTAGCATTATGATAAAGTATTGAGAGAGGTTTTATTTGATTCCATTTGTTACAATGGATAGTCTTGGTGTGACATACTGTCTGTTTTATTTTGTTTCTAAGTTATCCCTGTGTGCAAGGAATGGCCGGGGTTACCATCCACTGGCGGCGAGGGATTTGAACGCAGGTCAGCAAGATTGTTAGACGAGACCGCTACTGCTGCACCACACAGCACACGGGAGAGGGAGAGGGAAAAGAAAAGGAGGAGGGAAAAGAAGAGGGAGAGGTAGTGGGAAAAGAAGGAGAGGGAAAGGGAGAGGGAGAGAGAGAGAGTGTGTGGGAGAGGGAGAGAGAGAGAGTGTGTGGGAGAGGGAGAGAGAGAGAGTGTGTGGGAGAGGGAGAGAGAGAGAGTGTGTGGGAGAGGAAGAGAGAGAGAGTGTGTGGGAGAGGGAGAGAGAGAGAGTGTGTGGGAGAGGGAGAGAGAGAGAGTGTGTGGGAGAGGGAGAGAGAGAGAGTGTGTGGGAGAGGGAGAGAGAGAGTGTGTGTGTGGGAGAGGGAGAGAGAGAGTGTGTGTGGGAGAGGGAGAGAGAGAGAGTGTGTGGGAGAGGGAGAGAGAGAGTGTGTGTGGGAGAGGGAGAGAGAGAGAGTGTGTGGGAGAGGGAGAGAGAGAGAGTGTGTGGGAGAGGGAGAGAGAGAGAGTATGTGGGAGAGGGAGAGAGGGAGAGTGTGTGGGAGAGGGAGAGAGAGAGAGAGTGAGTGGGAGAGGGAGAGAGAGAGTGAGTGGGAGAGGGAGAGAGAGAGTGAGTGGGAGAGGGAGAGAGAGAGAGTGTGTGGGAGAGGGAGAGAGAGAGAGAGTGTGTGGGAGAGGGAGAGAGAGAGAGTGTGTGGGAGAGGGAGAGAGAGAGAGTGTGTGGGAGAGGGAGAGAGAGAGTGTGTGGGAGAGGGAGAGAGAGAGAGTGTGTGGGAGAGGGAGAGAGAGAGAGTGTGTGGGAGAGGGCTAGAGAGAGTGTGTGGGAGAGGGAGAGAGAGAGAGTGTGTGGGAGAGGGAGAGAGAGAGTGTGTGTGGGAGAGGGAGAGAGAGAGAATTTTTTTTTATAAAATAATTTTCAATGCTAATATGAATATTTATAGGGAGTGCAACCAGTTGTTTAATGGAACAAATATAAAATTCAATCTCACAGATATTTCTGTAAACATTTTCTAAGAATCAATAAAGATGTCATGACTTCACAATGAATATTATTTGTTAGGGAAAAAATACATACAAAACATGATCCTTAATGACACAAAGAAGGTAAGACAGGAAAATGAAAATGCAATGAGTACTAGAATACTTTAGTTTTCATCTGATAAAATTCACTGGCATGTGAGATATACATTCTCACTATTTTTTTTATAATGTTCTTGTTTCTTCTGGGGTATTTTATATAAAATTCTTGGCTTTTCTCTAGCTGCCAATAAAAAAAGATTAACATAACTTAAGTGTGAAGTAGGACAAGAAACTAATCCCTAGAAAAATGAATGAAGATAGTGATGATCATGATGGAAAGAAAGGAGAGATGACATTCAAGGAAGAAATCTAATGACAAATTAAGATACTAAATGGTGAAAATTAAATAGAATCCTAATGATGGAAATTACCAAGATATCTAAAATTGCAAACTAAGAAAAAAATGAAGATGGAAATGAGAAAGAAATCTAATGACAGAAATTAAGAAAGCTAATGTAAACATTAACAAAAATTGGATGATAATGATTTACACAAAATAATAATAAAAGACAAAGCAATCACTCTTAACCAAAAAATAATCTATTCAGACTACCAGCAGGTTTCAGTCTGTGTCTTGATAAGGAAACTGCCATCAAATTTCACCCTTTCTCTCTTCAAATTTCCTTTATTAAGATTTCCAAATCTGCCTTGTGAGATTACAAGTCATTGAGATTTCTTTTGTAAAAGGCCTTTCCAATTATCAGCCATATGAAAATTTACATAGATCTACTGTACTTAAGTTTGCAAAAACTGGTATGTTCCCATTACTCTAGAATATCAATGTGTCCTTGATAAGGAAACTGCCATCAAATTCACCCTTTCTCTCTTCAAATTTCCTTTATTAAGATTTCCAAATCTGCCTTGTGAGATTACAAGTCATTGAGATTTCTTTTGTAAAAGGCCTTTCCAATTATCAGCCATATGAAAATTTACATAGATCTACTGTACTTAAGTTTGCAAAAACTGGTATGTTCCCATTACTCTAGATATCACATCTTTACATCCATATATGAAGAGGAAAATGAAAAGGGAATAAAAATGTAAATAAATAATAATTAACTGCAATAAGATACCACAATTTTCAATATAAATCTCAATAGGTCAAACAAAACTACACATTTGCTCAAGGTCATTAAAAGACAACTGATTCATATGAAGCCGGTAGTAAAGCATTATACATAAATGTGGACTAAATACATTTCATTCTCATTTCAACTTTTACTGCATTGTTTATTATGGTTTTGTATTACCCACTGATCAGCTGATAGATATAACTGTAACAGACCTTTATCACAATTTTGAGTTACTAGTGAGAGGAATGGAGAGGAGAAGAGAGGAGAAGAGAGGAGAGGAGAGGAGAGGAGAGAAAAGAGAAGAGAGCAGAGCAGACAAGAGAAGGGAGAATAGAGAGAGAGGAGAGAAAAGAAAAGAGATGGAGAGAACAGAAAGGAAGGGAGAGAGTGTAGTAAAGAAAGTACTCAGATGCATGGATGGCTAGACAGATACACAGCAGAAATATCAAACATACTAAAAGATAGAGAGACAACTCCTGTCTTCCATACCAAACTGAGTGAGATCCATGTGCCTCCTTGGGGGAGAGAAGGGGAGGAGGAGGAGGAGGAGGGAAGGAAGGCAAGGGTGTGAGAGAGAGAGAGAGAGAGAGAGAGAGAGAGAGAGAGAGAGAGAGAGAGAGAGAGAGAGAGAGAGAGAGAGAGAGAGAGAGAGAGACAGAGAGAGAGAGGGGGGGGAGGGAGGGAGGGGGAGAGGGGGAGAGGGGGAGAGGGGGAGAGGGAGAAGGGGAGAGAGAGAGAGAGAGAGAGAGAGAGAGAGAGAGAGAGAGAGAGAGAGAGAGAGAGAGAGAGAGAGAGAGAGAGAGAGAGAGAGAGAGAGAGAACAAAAGGAAACACTTGAAGAGAAGGTTGGATGTGAAAAGGCTTGACTAACCAGTCTACTAGCAGAGGGGTAAGGGGCTTGGGGAGAGAGATGAAAGATACACACCAAGCATGATCAACAGAGTAGCTATTGAGAACTGTGAGGAGAAAGGACCAAATGTCAATTAACTGTTGTTGCAGGGGCATAGGAGTGATACTTATGAGTCATCCTTAATCATTAAAATATTAGAAGCACATGAAACAACCTCCTAGTTGATCCTCACAAACCCAGTATTTATTATTTGTGACCTAAAGGAAGAAAAAAAGCCACTGGTATTTCAGTATCAATATCATAGGACAGGAAAAAAGTAAAATTGAGCAGGAAATTCACCCTTTGTCTGGACAGGTTTTCTTGTTTAAAAATTAGGAACAAATAAAAACCAAAAATTAGAGAGATTCTAGAGTAAAAATAAAAGAATCATGAAGCAGAACAGACCAGACTAATACAGACTTGTCAACAAAACTTTTCATTTGTACCTCCTATATGTTCTTCAACATTATGCTTCCTCACTAACTTGTCTTGGACACAATAAAATCATTTGGAAACCTCCTTTTCATTTATATGCACACAAAATGCTTCATGCACAGACACAAGACTCAGTGCAAGACCTTTCCACATGCATTTAGTCAATCAAAGTACATGGTATAACACTTTATTCTAAAACTCCTTCCTGGTATCCTTGACAGCTTTTCAGAAATTACAACACACACCTCACATGGACACTATTTCCTGCCCACTATATACTCCTTCATGACTCTGGTGATACATTCCTTTTTTTCAGTATCATCACATTAGTGGAGTAGACCTTCCACCCAAGTTTTTCAATCATTGCACTTGTCAGCCAAAGTGCTTCTGACCCTGCCTCACACTGATGCACTTTTTGAATCATGTCCTTCTCTCTATCAAACATTGGCACTTTGGAAGGACAAACACATCCATTGCAATCATCAGCGTATGTGCACATGATAACAAGCTCACATACACAAACAAATGCACTTGCACAAAACTCCTCCTGATTTGCCAGTTTATTTATATATCTTTTATTTTCATTTATTCCATTTTCATCTGTAAACTTTTAGCACCAAAGAGCAGCATAGTTGCCTTTGAGGGAGGCGGGCAAAGGGCCACCTGCTGCAAACAACCTCATGCCAGACCAATCATAACAATGTGTGTATATGGCTGGTGTGTATTCCACATTATGAAATACGTCGTGGTAGGGTTCATCTGCGCTCACCCAACCCTTCGTGCTCTTCAGGACTACTGCTCGGCCGCTGGAGAGAGAAAAAATTAATAAAACTTTAAAATAAATAAAGAGAAGGGGCACTTGACAGGGCTATTGTTTATCAAATATTATTTTAAAGTCAAAACACACACACATACATACATACAAACACACACACACACACACACACACACACACACACACACACACACACACACATATGCACATATATACATACATACATACATACAAACGTACACATACCAATTATCATTCACTGACAATTTTACATGAACAAGCCTTTGATGGCCAAACTTAAGATCTTGCAGATATGTTGTGTGATGTAGGATATATAGCATACATGTTGCTGTATTCTGTATGATAGTATAAATTGTAATGCTTTATAAATGCCTTCCAGAATGTCCCTGATTGAACATTTATTTTTAGCTTCTAAATTACATCACAATTTGATATCTTTGAATTTGAATATGTCTTTACAGAAAATCAAGAAACTCACAACATTTATCATAATCATGATTATATTTAGTGTTGCTATTAACAAGTTGCATATATGGTACAGTATATGGCAAGTGACCATACAGATGGAGGAAGGTTATCTATTCATGCTGGGCCTTTGGGACCAAGATTTTATCAGAGAGGTTTGGGGTTTATGTGAAAGTTGTAATAATCTGAATTTGTATAGGTGTCCATATGAGCTCATACTTAGCTTTTGAGCATGCTTGCTAAAATCAATGTTTTTCAATTTTTGGTTTTCAGTTTAACATTTTCTATGACTTGTATACTGCTGTTTATTTAAGGTTCAGGCTGCAATTTTTTTTTTTTTTTTTTTACTTGTCCAGGAGGACAAGTACACCTGACTTTCCACTTGTCCTCTTCTGAATACCACTTGTCCGAAATATTTATATATATATATTATAAAGAAATTTATCAACTGTGATATATGAAACTAATATAAATAACTAATATATGAAACTAATATAAACAAATATGGCAGCCTCCATAATCATAGAACTGAAAGGAACTAGACCTTGCTAGATTTCACTAATTTTAGGGAAAAATCTACTGGAAATTTTTACTCGTCCAAGCGGACAAGCGAGGTAAACATTTTACTTGTCCTCCACAAGTTTACACTCGTCAAAGACGTGCGGACGTGGGATTTTTCGCAGCCTGAAGTTTCAGCAGAATGATTTCAATGTGCTTATACTATATCTTACATTATGAAGCAGAATTTCTATTAAAAAATTATTACATATATCTTTAAATTTGTGTAATCTTTCCTGATTCATAATACTAACCTTAAAGTTCACTTAATATTATCATGAAAAATTTACTTGAGACATTAAAGTTTGGGAAAAAATATGAAAAAATAAGTAAAATATATGAGAATGCAACATTTTTTATATCAAACAATCAGGCCTAGAGTATACAGCTCAAAATCAATAAATCGCTACCACTTGTTCCATATTTGATGATTATTATATGGTTTTAGAGCATCCAGTATGAAACACATACAATTTCAAAAGTATTTATATGGAACACAAAAAATATTTAATCATCAAAATATTTTTTAAGCAATTACAGGCTAGAATACTTTCAGCATTCATTGTAATTCTTTTAATGTTTGTATATATATATTCTTATTTATAAATATATATGCTTGTATGCAGTATCTAGCACAATCTATTTAATAAGTTGAGTAATTTAAGTATACTATCACTTGAAAGATATGCAGTTTTGCTGGGTGATTGATGCAAAGTTTGTATCAGTAGAAAAAATTGTGACTGCAGGCCTAACTAAACTTTTGACTTGGTTTTCTGCTACCTTGTATATATTTTCTAGGATTCTGCAATTATTTACAACTCATACAAAATTGTAAAAAAAAAAATTATAAAAAATAAGAAAAGGGTCTTTGCTTACACCCTCAACATTCCAAGGGTGAAAGGGTTTCGGGTGAGGGACAGAGAGAGTAGCATTATGGAATACCCTACTTCTCAAAAGGGTTTCCAAACATGGAAAGGCCCTCTTAATTCTCTTTTTTTAAAATAATACAGCCATTAGTATCAAGAAACCATCACATACTACCTGCTAACATCTTACCTATTCATGGTGGATTCCATGTACCTCCCAGCTCGCATATCATAGAACATTATCGCACCCACACCGGTGCCGATGGTCAGAATGTCACCATGGAAACTCACAGACCGGATACCACAACCTGTGATTCTGGCATTCACCTGCAAAGTTTATGATTATTCAGATGGTGAATAATGGCTCTTAAAAAAAACTGAGGGTAATTCAGAAGCTAAAATAAACTGCCAGCCTGTCACAACAATTATAAGAATAACCATCATAACAGATGGAATAAATTAAATCTAAATTTAAATTTACATAACAGGTTTCTTTTAATCTAATATTATTAGATTAAAATAAAAGTTGTCTTTACAAAGCCACCAAATGCAATATTTGCCTGCCTATAAAAACCTGAAGAAAGCACCTCATTTTTTACAAGGATATGTAACCTGCTCACAGGGAAGCTCTGCACCCGGGTGTATGTACACTTGCACTCTCCACTTTGGGCTCAAATCTAGGAAATTGTACATATATTATCCATTATCTGGTATGGGTCTGAATAATTTTCCTTTGGTGTTCTTTGGTGATTACATGTTATGAAGGTTATTTTTGAATTTCAGATTGGTAATGATTCTTAAAATAAACTATAAAAGGTAAAACAGCTAAAATGCAATAAAATACTTGTCCAGATTGTATGTGTAAATTGCCTTGAACACCTATACTAATGATAATTATTAACATAATCATTAGGATTATAATACCAATATTTTAAGCATAATTGTATCATATTTTCTACACATATATTGCTCTTAGTGGAGCAATATATTATAATATCTAAATTTTAAGCATAATTATATCATATTTTCCACACACATACAACTCTTAGGGGAGCACTATATGCCCCATATTTAAAAACTACTGCCTGACAGAAGACTTCTCTTGATTTCCCCAGGTGACTCTCCCATTTTTTTCTGTTGTGTAAGCAACATTAACATTTTTTTTTTAATATTCAATATTCAATTTCCTGTAATACATTTTTTCTGTTGTATAAGCAACATTATTATTTTTTTTAATATTCAATATTCAATTTCCTGTAATACATTTTTTCTGTTGTATAAGCAACATTAACATTTTTTTTTTAATATTCAATATTCAATTTCCTGTAATACATTTTTTCTGTTGTATAAGCAACATTAACATTTTATTTTTTATTTTTCTTTATTCAATATTCAATTTCCTGTAATACACTCTAATACTACCTGGACAGGAATAAACTTCTTAGTGAGGATATAGTGTCCTCCCTTGTTTGCTGATGGAAATAATGCAAAACCCCTTCCTAAATGCCCACTGATTTTAATCAGAGTGCAAGAGCATTGAGCCCTCACGGTGAAACATCCTTGTTACCTGTCTTTAGCTAAAATTCTCATGACAGCTCTAAGCCACATTTTTTCATGATGTGATGGTTGCATCACCTAAATCATTACTCTTATAACCCCTAGAGCCCCTACAAAGTGAAAAGAGAAGAGGAAGGACAGAAGAGAAAATAAGAGAGAGAGAGAGAGAAAGTGAGAGTGAGAGAGAGAGAGAGAGAGAGAGAGAGAGAGAGAGAGAGAGAGAGAGAGAGAGAGAGAGAGAGAGAGAGAGAGAGAGAGAGGAGAGAGAGGAGAGAGAGGAGAGAGAGGAGAGAGAGGAGAGAGAGGAGAGAGAGAGAGGGAGAGAGGGAGAGGGAGTGGAGTGGGAGAGGGAGAGGGAGGGAGAGAGAGAGAGAGAGAGAGAGAGAGAGAGAGAGAGAGAGAGAGAGAGAGAGAGAGAGAGAGAGAGAGAGAGAGAGAGAGAGAGAGAGAGAGAGAGAGAGAGGAGAGGAGAGGAGAGAAAAAAAAAGGAAAAGGGAAGGGATAGAGGAGATGGAGAGTCTGAGACATGATTGCTATAAAAAAGAAAGATAAAGAGGCACTGGGTATTGAGTGAAACAAGTGTGATAATGAGATTTCAATTTCCCTCTATTGCTCTTTTCCCTTTACTTAGTACAACCAAGACAACATGCCTTACCTTTTTAACATAATGCAGTGTTCTAGGGTCCAGCAATGTGGTGTGGGACTTGGACCCAATTGCATAGAGGGAACTGTCCTCTTTGACAGTGAGGCAAACATTCTCCATAGCATGTGGGAGCTTGCGGGACATTTTCTGTACAAAACGGTTGGCGTCCCATACGTGGAGGTAGGCATTGAGCGAGAGTGCCACAATCTCTACAAAGTTTGGGTTGAAGATGACTGCTCGCACTTTCTCTGCACCATTACACTTCTTGATCTTCACAGGTTTGATGTGGCCATAGTTGGGAAGATTGCTTGAGTTGCTCATATCAATGTCATCATCAATCTTCCAGAGGGCAAGCCGTGTGTCCCTTGAGCCTGACACAAGAAATTGGTCATCCAGCCAACACATGTCAAAGATCCAGTCTGAGTGGGCCTTTTCACCTACACAGACTGGATCAAGTGTTGGCAGGCGGTAGACAGCAATGTCATTGGAGTTTAGTGCACCAGTAGCCAGGAGGGTACGTGAGGGATTGATTTCAATGGAATGGATCCCGCACTGTTGATCCTGCGGACGGTGGGGCTCTGAGCTTCGCAGTGAAGGGATCACATCCATCTGGCGTGTATTCACGTCGTATACCATCAACTTGTTACACTTGGTCCCCATAGCGATCTGATGGTCGCTCAGCCACTGAGAGCAGAAAACCTGCCAAACCAGAAGAGAAAAAGGTAAATGAATGGGAGAGGTAACTATGTATAAAAAGCCTTATTTGATATAAAATAATGAACCAAACTGGAGAGAGCACAGTTTTCTCTTTGTGCATATCATACAAAGGAATGAATGGCAGTCTACTATCAAGACTTCTATTGGATTCTCTTTTGATATAAACATTGAATGATTAGCTTCAGAAGCAAAATCAGGTTACACCTTACCTTAGTTTCATATTACCCACATGTACAAAATGTATGCATTATTAACCTGTTGGGTCCAGGTGCCTCATGGCTTGTATGTGGACCAAAATCTGAGCTTTAGGATTACCTGAGTGCTGATTCCCTTTTGTGTGGCTTGGAGACCCCTCCCACATGAACATTGTGCAGTATCAAGACTCCTTGCATCCTATTTGCAATGCTATTATCTATATTTGTTCTCTGTTATGCTGTATCAAGATGGTAATGAAATGTTTTCATTAAAGCAGACTCCATAATGTCTTTCCAAATACTCTACAATTCTGTGTTGTTTCAGTTTTTTCCATCTTTTCATATTATTAAATTTTCTGTAACACACCCTGAACTGCCAGTTATTGTGGGCAGCATTAGATTCCTGTATATGGAAATCGCGTCTCCACTGTTGCTTGCCCAAACATGGGTCACAAAAGTTTTACTTGTGGAAATAATGCTGGAGCCCCTTCCTAAAAGCCACATGAGTCTAATCACCCTCCAAAAGCTTTGGGCACACATGGTGAGACATCGTTTTTACTTGCCATGCTCTAACAATATCTTAGTTTTAGATCTATCTCATGGTGAAATAGGGAGGTCCCTCACCCAAATTTTAAAAATCATGTTACATTCCAAAACTAACCAAGCTATTCAAAGAGGAGAGCCTCTTGTACAATGATGGTCAAATACAACCACTTTCACTCCGCAGCGACAAAATTGCGTAAAACAATTGTTGGCCCTTATGTTTTCTTCTTTTCTCATTTGTATTACATTACTGAAACTCATTAACCACATTAATAATCATGAAAATGCATTGGTAAGGAGTCCATAAAGACTGAGGAATATAGGTTATTGCAACATTTGGTAACACATGCAACATTGCACTTCTTTGATGAAGAGGGTAAACTAATATGATAAACATACACAAACTAATTTAAGTACAAATAAGTACAGTTCAATGATTTTCCAGAACTGATACAGACAAACATTGGCAAACTAAGAAAGAACAGTCTCTTATGGGCAAAACAAAACATTATTAGTGAACAAGTGCAATTTTCATTCCTACCAATCAATTTTGTGAAAACACTCTTCCCATTAACCCATTCGCCCCATGTGGCAAGAAGAGATACCATGCCCACTGTAATACATGTTTATCTTTTGTATTTACACATACATGGCTCTACAAGTTCTTAATCACCAAATAGCCAGTTTATTGGAACTACCTATCTTACCTGTTTACCCTTTTCCTTCACTTTAGGAAAGGGTTTTTTATATCATTTCATTGTCTAAAATATTTTAATGACAATTTAAAAATCATAACATCAATAACAATAATAACAGTATCGATAGCAATCGTACTAATTTTCCCGCCAATTCAATGAATGGGAAAATCAGGATCTGTAACTAGGGCCTACTGATAGACTCATTGCTTGTTTAATTGTTTTTACACATAGATGGCGACACTTGTACTTGTACTGCCTGTCTCGCCCGTTTACCCTTTTCTTTAATTTACGAAAATATTTTACATTATCTTATTTTGCTGTTACTAATGTTTATAACATTACAGTAATTATAATGTTTATAATAAAAATAACCATCGATATTCATAGCGATAGTAAAAATACATTTTCCCACCTAGTCAAGGAAAGGCGTAATCAGGTAAGGCAGAGCCATCTAGTGTAGAGACATTTCACATTTCCCTAGAGGCATTAGGTTAAAAACATAGTTTTTTTGTATTTACTCTTTTAGGGACTAATATATAAAACATAAAACACAAAACACGCACACACACAAAACAAACAAACAAACACACAATCGCACTCACACAGATCTGTGCACATATACAGTTTTTTTTTTTTTTTTCTAAGCTGTCTCTAGGGTGTCTCATGCACAAGACATGAGACTTCTAAAAGTAACATCCATAATGTCTAAATGATTTCCTATTGCAAAAGGAACCACAAATTACATCATAAAGGAATATAAAAACAGAAGTGAAGTCATTATTACTTCCATCTAGCTGGACTCGATGTGAAGGTGCAGGGGGATTATGAAGAAAGACAGAAAGAGACAGGAAATCAGAATCACAACAAAAACAAAAGTTGAGTCCAAGGAGAGAGGAAGGTTGACTGGGACAGATATATGGATAGATAGACAAAGAGGTAAGCAGAGGAAGTGAAGCCACTAAATTTTACATCATGAAGCTGGAGAAGCAAGGTCACAAAGTGACATTACAAAGCTGAGAAAATTATATCATTATAGTTGCTGTATTTGCTTTTCAGCCTCCATCAATACTTCTACATAGTTGATGTTACAAGCGGAAGTGACATCAGTAAAGGTTATGATGTGATTGGTCATGATATGCAACATGTAATCCAATCCCTTTTGACATCATTGGTCATCATTGGCAACATATTGCCTGTCAGGTCATACTGTAGGAATTTTCTTGTATATATAAGGGTGCCTTATTCATTACTCGCTAACGAAAGGCCTCATCCCTACCGACTATACTCTCCTAGCTGCTGCTCCTCCAAGCTCAATGACCCTCAGTCATCAATTTCTTTGGTACCTCCTACCAAGGTCCTCATCACCATCCTAGGCAAGGCTTCCCACTATCTCTGACATCATCTTTGAAGGGAATGATGAGGAATCAGTGTTGTGAAGGGTGGATGAGTTTGACCTATAATTTGACGTCTCCAATTTGGAAGACCAGTTTGTAGGTCAAACTGGATTACGTCTTTTAGGTTGACATCATCCTTGCAGTGTAGAGCCACTGAATAATGTGGGAACTTGGGCAAGGGAGAGGAACACTCCATGGCTCTGTCCTTCGTCTGGCGACGAAAGTACAATGTCCCCAAGTGTTTAGAGTTTGCTAGCCATCCTGGGGTCATAATTGACCTGGATGTGTCAAGAACACCACTGAAGATCTTTGGATGTTTATTTACCCACAATCTCCTTGACATTATCTTTGAAAAGACTAATAAGTAAGTTTCATAACTTTAGGGCTTTCAACTCGAGGTGAGGTTCAAGTACTAGTCTGGCACCTTGGTACGCCTCTTGTTTCAGGGTGTTCGGGCAGAACTGTAGCAACTTGTCCACATCCACAAGAGCTGTTCTGCTTTTGATAGAGTCTGGCATCTTCTATGGGGAAAAGGATACCAGTCACTTATGAACAACTGGTAAATGTTGTGGGTTCTCTTTCATCTATTGCAGGCCCAAAGGATGGATGCAGTAGGCACAGCCTGGTTGAACAGGACATTCATGACCAAGGACCTCAGTGTGGGGAGGATAAGCAAAGTGAACTACTGTAGCAGGAAGATGAGGTTGCTGGCCTTGAAGTGGAAGAACTACCACACCCTCAATATGCTGTCAACTGTCTATAACACTTGAATTGATGGAAACTGATTACAACCTCAGCATGAAGGGTGTTGGGGTTGATTAGATGGCAAGCTACTACATAACGGCTTGCAAATCCAAGGTCTGGTACGTGAAGACTTTCTTCTTCCTGTTTGACTTGGGCATTATCAATGCTTACACAGTCCACTGCGCCTTTGGTGGGATGATGTACCAAAAGGCCTTAAAGGTTGATGTTTTGGAGGACTTCAAATCAAGAGCCAACCTTACCAAACAGCCAGACAGAAAGACAGATGCAGATACTTAAATTACATAAAATCGGCTTAAACTGATTAATGACACATAAAGAAAACGGTAATATTAATAAAAATAACAACTATATAATAATAATGATACACTTTCAGGGAAAAAGAGGAAAACAAGAAAAAGAAAGAAAAGAAAAAGGAAATATACTGCAATAGGCACCATGACATAGACCAATACTTCTACACTTAATGTTATCAACCATCTTACTTACACAGCCACTGACCTTGTTTATCCTATTGAGTGGAATGGGTCTCTCTCGAAACATGCCTGTGGTTAGCATGTGCCTTGTGCCAAACTCCTCATTGATGCTTTGGTACTCATGCCGGCTGCAGCCCCGAGATCTTGTCAAGACATAATCGGCAAAGTTGTGGCTCAGTGGTTGGTACTTCTGCATGGGCACAATGGGGCTTAGTTGTGGTAAGAAATGCTGCATCAAAGTAGCCGTTACTTGGATTGGGTAGTAAGCACAAATGAAGGGAAACTAGACTATATATTTTCCCTGATCAAGCCTTAAAATTAATCATATCAATGATAAGAGAAAAATGATGAAGGGAACAAAAGAAATAAAAACAAAAAAACAAAGCTTAGCAACATTTCTAGGTCCCCAAACTTACCTGCATAAAAGACTGTTTCCGCCGCACTGTGTGGTGGTGGTGTGAAGGATGGTGAGGGACGCCCCCTAAGGCAATGTATCCTCCTCCATCCCTTGAGTTCTCTTCCTCTTCCGCATCGTTATCCTCCTCTTCCTCATCCTCATCACTGTACAGCATGAATTCATCAATCTGGTAATAAGAAATAGTAATTCTACTGTAATCAACAAAGCAGGTGAAATGTGCACATGACTCTGACCACACACATACACACTCCCTAATTTTGGTTTGTGTCAGATACCAAATCCTGTCTGGAGGGATTCAATAAAAATGCTCTGCCTACAAATCATATTTCAACAACATGTGTCATTCGTAATACTGCCATGACATGAAACTAGTTTGACCTCTTGTGAACGAAGATGCCTATAAGACATTGTTGTTATAAATTGGAGCTTCACATTTTCTGATTATGTCAAATGGCAGATATTGGATCAGACCTGAATTAATTCCTAATGTAGATGGAAAACCAGCTTCGAGTGGTAATTAGTCAAGGGAGACTTTTATTTGTGTTTATGAATTTGATCTCCTCCCTTAGGAATAATAGGTAGATTACACTTCATGGTTTCATTATAAGCACTAATATCAACTGAAAAAGTGAGCCATAAAATGGCTACATGTGAGTGAGAAAACAGTTTAGTGTGAGGAACAGATTAATCATGAAATGTAAAAAATGGAGCCTCTGAGTGATCATAAGGTCGACATGCCAAAAATATATGATGATAAATATGTGCATAAGAGAAAAGGTAAAAGAAAATATTATTAGTTTTGAAATCTATAATGACTAACAACATTGAGTGCTTCACTAAACAAGACTTTAGTTGAGTCAGATGGTCTGTATACGAAAACTTATAGTTCTTGTATGTCCATAGTCAGTACACCAAACACTTGTTATCTGAATATTCTATTACAGTGTCAGTTTCCTGTTATTTGAACGTTCTATTACAGTGTCGGTTTTTGTTACATCTGATGAATTTCAGAAATATTTTCTTTTCACTTGGTATCGATATTAGAATTGTCAATGACATTATAATAATTATAATGTCTATAATAACAATAACAGCATCAATATTGACAGAAAAGGAAAGGTGAAACCATCAGGTATAGGTTTTTAGGTCTAATAATCAAATCCTTGGTGGCTAAGCACAAATAAAACAACAGTAACGTACCTGTAGCAAACATCAACAATTATTTATTTATAGCCCTCACAGAAACACTTTTAACCCACTGGACCCAGATGCTTCACTGTCTCCACATGGGCCAAAATCAAGGCATTAGGCTTACATGATTGGTGACTCATTGTGTGATGTCAAGGATCCTTCCCTCCCTTTTGTAATGTTATATCTTATTTTACATAAGCATTATTATCCTTTTTTTTTAATTATCATTATTTTTTAATTATTATTACTATTATTACTATTATTATTATTATTTATTATTATTAATATTATTTGCCATTTTCCAATGTCTATTGTCATTTGATAAACCCCTTGGACATGACCATCACATCATAAAAAATTTGGCTTGAGGGCCAGGTGACATGAACATGTCATGGAAAAATTTGGTTGAAGGTTGGGGTGATGGGAACATATCATCAAAAGATTTTTGACTAAAGCTCATGGAAGATGAAGATATTTGGGATAGGGCTCTTGTATTATTCCAATCGGTAAACAAGCAAGGAATGGACCATCTATGAGCCACGATTGTTCCAGAGAGCAAGCTCTCTCCATGCTCAGGATCCTATTTCTGCCCACTATGACCAGCAGTGCAGGCTGTATTACAGAGAATTGAATATAATTACTACTACTATTATTATCATTATCATTATTACAAATATAAAAAAAGGCTCATGCAGAAAGGGATAATAATGTTGCAAAGGGGAAGAAAGGAGTCTTGACA